GCTAAAATTAAACGTTTTGTCACAAATCAATCAAAATTAATAAAAAATGTAACAAAAAAATATAACAAAAAAATATAACAAAAAAATATAACAAAAAAATATAACAAAAAAATATAACAAAAAAATATAACAAAAAAATATATGTATAGAAATGCCAACTATATCAAAAAAGCAGACTACTAACATCTCTATCTTCCAATGATGATACGTCATTAATATTGGTATTTTTCATAGGGTTGCTTTCAGTCTCGGTAGATTCGTCTGTTTCATTTTGAGTACTCCCATCAAGTTCTTGTTTGTTTGGAAATTATTAGATTTTTCAAAACAATTAAATGCCTAAAACATAAAATTAATAAATATGTTTATTTAGTAAAAAATTTTTTTTATACCTTAGGCCAGACCAATTTGATTTTCTGTTTAACATTACCCCCACCCCCTCAATTTTTCAAACTAATACACATAATATTAAATAACCCCTTCTATTTTTCAAAATCTATGTAGTACACATCACATTAACCAATAAGATTGCAGTATTAATTTGTATCCCCACTCCCCTCTTACAAGTCATCTCATGTTATGTTAAACAAAAAATCAACTTGGTTTGGCCTTATGAAGAAATTTCAGATTCGGATTCATTATATACTCGATCCCTCATTATCTATGTTTCGGTTTTCTGAATTTACCAGATCGATGTTCCCAAGAGGATTAACAAGATGTTTAATAAAAATCTTTTTTAAAAATTTTTTCATCGCGATAATGAACTCGCTTGACCGAATAATTTATTTTCCACTAATTAAAAATTGAACTCAGACCTATTGATTTAGATGCTTGAGAGCACCCTAAATGTGGACTATTCATGGGCTTTTAGATCTGGATTCAATTGTACCGGATCCAAATTTTTGAGACCAAGCTCGGCCAAATCTAGCCCATAGTTATGAAGTTAACGTTTATATAAGGCCATATGAAGTTTTGTAAACTTTTGATATATAATTTACTATTAATACTTCGGGGTGTTTTAGATAAATTTTTACAATTAATACTTCGGGGTGTTTTAATAAATTTTACAAGTTTTTAATATTTTTCTTGTCAAAAAAAAAGATTAAAAAATTTTATAATTAAAAATTAAAAGCCGGCCTGGCGGCAAAAATACTATTCCTGATAGAGTTAACAAAAAATTTATTTGAGTACTGTTCCTGATAGGGCACTAAAAACGAACCCTATCAGGAACGTGATTTGTTTTCCCCACTCTGTACCGACGATCCATCAGGAACGGTATTTTTGCGGCCGGGCGGGTCATTTTATTTATGTTATGAGAAAGAATTGGTTAACTCTAGTTAGTGTATTATATAAGTCATCAGGACTGCGAACCTTCAGAATTCATCCGATTTTAACTAGAGATCTTGAATATTTGGACTTTGAATACTGTGTTCTTAAATTATCATATTCATAGTTTAAAAAAGTATATGTATGATTTTATTATCGTTATATAGTTATTAATTATTAATTACTATATGTACTATATGTGTATTACCATTATATTCATTTCGGTTGAATTATTTCTTCAGTGGAATGTTCTTTAGAACAACCAGAATATTGAAAAATCTGCAAATCCAATGAGTTACAGATTCGAGTTAATAGCACTGATATCAACCATCCTTTTATCATTCACAAAAGTCAACTACCCCTTCTATCATTCATATTAGCATGGAAAATAATAAAGACAAATATTATTATAAAAAAAAATTAGCAAAAAAGTATAGCGATTATAATACGAGTGATGAATGGTGTGAGGCATGACTATTTAATGATCGATCACTTATCGACCTGACCATACTCGAAAAAAAAATTATTATGATCGGTCACAATCAAACAAATCAAATGATCGGTCATTCCCTAATTGATCATAATCTCTAATAGAAGTTAACTATCTTTCTTTCCACCATTCACAGGATTCAACACATTGGAAGACATTAAATTGTTAATATAAGTTTGTAGGATTTGGTTTCCTGATTGCATTTGATCATGATCATCTTTTACTGATTCCATTTTTTGAATTAAAGCTAAAATTCGTGTTAAGAAACAATATCTTAGATAAAGATTTAATTTTTAAACCTCTTTTTTAAAAAAGTAAATAAATAAATACAGTCTACTCTGTCAAAACTGATTCAATTTAAGGGATATCAGGTTTGAGGTCTAAATTACTAGATCGAAAATAATCATGGATTTTGGTTTTGACAGGGTGACTGTAAATAAAAATACAAACCTTTTAGACCCCCTTGGAGTTCAACAATTTCTCTAATAAAATGTAAGAAATAATGTAGGAATGAATTTTCCGACTTTTAAATATAGTAATCTTAAAAAGGCTTCTAACAGCAATAATACTTTATCAAATCCGATCTAGCCTCAGGATCTAACTCTTCTTCACTCGCCTCATCACTTTTAATCTTTGATAAAAATTCCATAACAGAAATGGTAGACCCATTTACATCTGCTGAATTATGTTCTATTGAGGTGTCTAGTGTTGAAATTGACATGATTGATTTAATAAGCGAGTTAAAAACAGAAGATGTACGTACATGAATTAGACTTTACGTTTATGCAAATTTGGAAATTGGTAATTAACAGCGTTAACGTTAGGTTTAACGTTACATTCAGGTCACATGATCATACCGATTATCGATTATAAAAATATATACAATATATATATACCAGCATTTACTCATTTACTGTAATTAAATTCAAAAAGCAATGTCTTTCTTTCGTTCAATTCTTTTGAATAGGTCATCATTTCATCTTCCATCACCTGAAATTCCGATAAGCAAGATAGCGTTTGCTACATTAATATTTCGCCAATACTCTCAAAATAAGCAAAAATCTATACCACCACCTAGAGGTTGGTTTCTTAGAATTCATTATACAAATTTTAAAATTTCTCTTTAAATTCTTTTCATTCCTTCCGTAAAGGTTCTATTACCACACACAAAGAATTTCTAGAAAAAATCGGTCGTGATTGTGGTTCTTTAGCTGATAAATTTCGGGTAAGCCTTTTAACCTTTTATTCATATTAACATATCCTCTAAAAATTTTATCTGAAATAGGATTGGGACCATCTATTCACCGCTTCATCGCGAGAAATGAAAGATGTTTTGGAATTACCTACTAGACAACGACGGTATCTTTTTCATTTGGTTTAAAACCCCTTATTTTTCTTTTTACTAATGTTAATATAAATCTTGATAAATCAGATGGATTCTTGCGTGGACACAACATTATAGAGACGGTATAGATCCTTATAATATTCCAATTCGTACAAAAAAGAAACAAAAAAAGAAATAATCAAATAATTTGATTTTTTTTTGTTCTATTGAATAATTTGTTTTATTAAACAAATTCTGGATTCCAATTATTATTATTATAGATGATTGTATTATATTATTTCAATAATATTTTCTAATTTTATTTTAATAATCATTTAAAGTTTCCTATAATTGTATAAATATATATTAATACTAATATTCAATTAAACACCTTATCAAATAACAGAATAATAATAATAATATAATTGTTTATTAAATGAATAATCGAAACAACATTTATAAAATTTCATGTAGAGGGACTATGACACATCGACAAATTTCCTAACGTTTTCCAACCATTTGATATACTCTTTTTGCTCTTTATATTCAACATAATTTGAAATGAAAAGAGCCACAGCTGTATTTATACCACGTTCTTCTAAATATTTTTCGAAGAGAACTTGGACATCCTATTGATATAAAAAAAAAAAAAAACTCAACGAATTAACAAGCAATGACATAAAATTTATAAATACACAGTAACCTATCATAATGAAACACAAACATTATCTAAAGTTTCAAACGACGGGCCAGGATAATAACCTCTCCTCTTCCAATCGGCCTCAGCTGTCCAATCACCAGCCAATTTAGCATCCTGATAATATGATACAAAGTTTATAAGAAAAACACCATCGGCAATTATTGATTCGAATCCTAATGCGCCTTTGCCAGGCTTATTATGAAAAAAATTATTAATATGAACCTCTGATTATTATCAAGATATTTTAAATAGTTTTTTACACATACTTTTTCAATAGTGATTGAACACCTGACTGGTAATGATTGTTCAGCTGAACCTTCTTCTTCTTCTTCCTCCTCTTCTTGAGATGAATCCTTTATAATCACGTGACATGTTTTAGATTTCTTTTTTTCAACGAAATTAATAAGATTAATAAGATTAAAATGCTTACATCTATTTCATCGTCCTCTTCTTCGTCACCACTAAGTGAAATCGGTTCTGCCTGTTGTTCTGATGTATTGATATCGAAAAGTAACCGAATCCTATATAGTAACATCACAATTATATAAACTTTTTAAAAAGTCTAAAAAAATAATCAAGGCACTTAAATTCCACCTACTTTTCATTTCCAAATGTTCTCGTTAGTGCAACTTCATTAGCACCTAATTTATCTTCAATCTGTTTCGTCAAAAAAAAAACCCCCCATTTTTATCACATACATATGCTTTAAACTTTATTAAAAAGAATTGATCATACTTTAAACGGATTCTCTGATAAAAAGCTTTTTATAAATGATGGTTCGGATGAATCGGGTTCATTTCCTTTTTCATATTTTAATTCTTCTGCTAGTTTAACTGACAATTCCTTATCAACTAAAAAATTGAAAGTTGTTACAGTCTAAAAAATATGGTTCAAAAATTTTACACAGGAAAATAATTAAGGATAAGTTAAAATATTACCTGATACATTAGGTAATGATCTAGTGCAACTAACAGAGAACCCACGAACGTCACCCATAAAACCATTTCCGGGGGGAACATTTCTAAGTGTAGCTGATGTTAACCGTGTAATAGGTGTAACAGATCGTAACCCCGATAGCGCTATCAATGAACTCCTGGTCGTAAATGTGAATATTACTGCTGTTATTCTTCTACTAAACATATTTGACATGTTTTTGAAAAGCGCCGATTCATAGTTATTTTTTTCGTTGATAAAAAAAATTTTTATTGATTATCAGCATCTAGATTGCTCGAGTGATGTCATATAAGTCACTGGATTGCAATAAGTTCAAATCCTTGTAAAAAAAAAAAAAAAAAAAACTACAATCTTTTAATCATCACACGAACTAAAAAAATCAGTTACGTTCTAAACCTCATTATATTCCGGCAATTTATTTTCTATGACCGAAATCATTTCGTTTAATTATAACCATATTGATATATACAGTATAGTTCGAATTAGTGATGGTCACGACGAGTCACGATACAACTTGAGTCAATTCGACTCGACTCGCTCACACCTTTGAGTCGAATTGATTTGATTAAGAGTTCCTAAGAATCGATTCAACTCGCCCAATCGTGCCCATTTCGACCACATATATATTATTTTCTTTATAATAATAAATATCACTTTATTCTATACAATGGCTGTATACAAAATAATTTTCCAAATATAATTTTTTTTCCTCTATATCATCGTGACAAAATATATACGGTATTTTACGGTATTTTACGGTATTAGTGACTTATCAACGTGAGAAAATAGATACTGTGGTAACTGAAATTAAAATTGGCTGAAGCTGAAATTTAGAATCTCCATTTGAAATTTATGTAACTTAATAAACCCACTTATACTTTTTTATTAAAATTCTAGTCCCAACGCTAACTCAAAAAATGTACTAAAAAAAATTTCATCTTCAGCCAATTTCAGCCTCAGCCATCACAAAAATAAAATAAAATAAATATTAGAAAAAATTATCTATAAGTCATTTCTCTAACTGCACCCCTCGGGAAATATAATAAAATAAAATGAAAGCATATATTAGATTTACAATAAATATGAAAGATCAAAAGTTATACTCCTTCCTTATAGGCAAGATCAAGCTACTATGCATTTGGAGGGAAGCGTACATTTTACGTATCAGTATAGAATGTGCATTTAAAAGTAGAGTAACTATACAAAGTTATTCGAATATTGATTTATATTAGTCTATTAAAAAAAATTTTTTTTTTCTCCAAGTCGCTCGTTTTTATCTGCAGTTATTCCAAATATCAATAAGTACGTACGTACGTACGTAATCGATTTTGGGGCGATACTGGAGATGGAAACTACCGATCAATTCATAATTTTTTTAAGTTAGAGCACTTAAAATGTTTATATAATTTCAAAAGACCAAAATTTTCGAAGTATTAAATCATTTAATAAGCAATCAAAAATTTTCACCTATTATTATTACCTATTTTCTGCTACGTATTACATATTTTGTATATCAGATATATATTGATTGACTATCACTACGTATATAAAGATATTTGCTGAATCAAGAAAACAAAATGACTACGTATTATATAATACTATAATAATAATAATATACGCATAATGTATAATGAAATATGCATGAAATAAGTCACATATTGAAGTGTTCGTTGCTACAAGCAAATATTAAAAAAAATTTTTTTTATCCCTTCACAATTATGTTAACACCAACCATTAAATAAACATCAATGATTATTTATTTTACAACTATTTTTGAAGATCGATTTCCCCAAAGTTTGTTATATATGGTTCTGAACCAAACCGGGCTTAACTTAGGTTTGGACCTTTTATAAAAAACCTGGTTCTTAAGATTTTTTTAATGGAACAAGGTTTTAGAACTTAAACCAAACCTAAATTACCCCTATTCTTGTGATTGCGAACCAAAAGATTTACCATCGACTTCGGATTGAAGAACATGATTATTACCCATAGCAGGATTATAAACGTATGAGAAGGAAGTTGGAGACGGTAATCTTGGATCTATAAATCTTGCTCCTGCAAAGAGTGTTCCTTGGCCTTCATATGATTCGATCGGATTTCTGGGTTGCTGATTCGGAGGTGGCTGAAGATAATTTGGACCATTTTGAACTCCGGGAACATAGTACTGTTGCGTCATAGGCACTTCCAGTTGAAATTGCCCTTGCGTCGCATCGTTAATTAAAGAATGCCTAGCACGTTTAAAATCTGTTGAGGCGCTAACTCCACTAAATGCCATCTCACGTTTAATTGGAACAACTTGAGCTGGTGCAACCGGATAAGAATTCGCTGGAATTGAAAAAACTAGTGGACTACAGGCCGGAGGAATTGTAAATGTCGGAGGTTGTGATTCTACGTCAGTTTGCATAGGTGTTACACCAGAAGACTGTTCAGTCAATGAAACAAAATTTCCTTTTTTTGATTCTTGTCGGTTAACGTTATTTTCACCACGAGTGATTTTGCTTTCTTTAACCTTTGGAGTACTCGACGACTCTTTGGTCTCTAAAGTTTGTTCCCCATTTCCATTTATCACAGCACTGTGAATCTTTTCAATATTAGGTGTTGTATTACCATTTGAACCTTTTGGTGATGATTTATCCTTTGGCGGTTCGTTTTCCATTGATTTTTTCCCTTTTTGTTTAGATGGCTCATGAGATTTATCCAACATTTCACTACATACGAGAGAAAGTACCGATAAATTTGATCCTTGTCCATCTTTAGGTTCATCATCATCATCATCATCATTTTCATTCGTTGGTTTAGCAGAAACTGATGAGATAGATGCCTTTTTATCCGTATGTTCGTTTGCTTTAGATTCCTCAGCTCTTTCTTTTGAACTATTTTCGCTTTGAGTCAAGGATTGCAAATCTTGTGACAAATGTGATCCTGATGAAGGAATGGATACTTGTTTTTGATCATTGGTAACAGATTGTTGTGGCTGATTGGTGGTAATCGATATTTCCTGTTTCTGGTTTGCTGCAGAAGATTGTTGTGGATAATGAGACGATGGAACAAGAAGATAATAAGGCATGGCTCCATTATTTGCGGGAATCATTATAAATTGTCCTAAACCTTCTGGAGTAGAAACATTTATAGGTGCTCCTGCAGAATGGAATTGCAATGCGGCCAATGGTAAGTTAACCGGTATAGGGTGATTGAAAGGCATGGAGACGCCACCGTTAGGAATAGCAGGAGGCATTACTGGAGCGGTTGAAGGAACAACCTCAGGAGTCGAAGTTGTGTTAACAATATTTGAACTAGCTGCTCCTCCTTCTGTATTATAAATAAATTTGATAATTTAATTACATATTTATTATGTTAAATTTTCAAATAAATTTTAATTACCTGTTTGTTGCTTACGCTTGTAAGGACCCCTCTTGATACCCTTTTTCCTCTCCTTTCTGATAGAGTCCTTGCATGTGCCCGTAAGTTCATATTTAATACATCTCTGGCATGGTCTTCCATCGTCACATTTCTTGCACGCTTTTTGACAATTTACTATTATACAATTATTCGACAAAAAAAAATTTTTGTTATCCGTGTAACGCGCACTAAATTCCGATATCTCGGAAAATGAATATTTGTTTGTTTATTATCGAATTTGGTCAAAATCAAAATCCAAATCCAAAATCGGATTTTCACAACACATGAGCTCAAATAATTTTCCGATTCACACGTGAAAAATATGTTTAGTGCAAAGACGAACTTCCTCTTGGAGCAGCTTAAAACATCGCCATATAGTAATTCATTTATTCAAAAACAATATATCTTTCTTTTTGTTTGATACAGACAATGATCCCTTTGCTGATCATCATTGTCTCTATATCACGTGAAAAGGATCGTAAAAGCTCAACTTACCACATGCATTTTTTACTTGCTGTCTTTTGGGTTTTACTCCGGTCGCAGGTTGTGATACTTGTCCAATTAACGGTGTTGAAACGAATGAATAAGTAGTGGTTGGTTGTGGCATTTGATTTAAGCTATTAGTGGCTTGCGCAACTGTAGGGAAAGTTTGGAAGGGAACCGTTGTTCTTTGTTGATTTTCGTATCCATATTGATTACTCGTAGTGACGCTTTCAGGCATTTTTTTTTTTTTTTGCGTGTATCAAGGTTTCCTTTTTTTTTGTGCTATACCTTATACGTCTCAAAGTGTGAGAGTGGTGATGTTTCGTCCCAAACGAAAAAAAGAGAAAGAAAAAAAAAAAAAGGAAAAAATTATATAATATGTTTATATAGTCTGAAAATAGTTCGTGGAGTTTCTGCCAAAGAAAGTAAAGAAAATATCGGATTTTATAAATGGATCTTTTAGGGGAAAGGAGATAGACTGAGTTAAGGGGAGTTGCACCCGTATTTATATCTACGGTGAAATACTTCAAAACTGCAGAATCAATTGATTTAAATTTTGTATTAATAATACGAAAAGTATAATATACAAGATCTTGTAGTAAATAAATACATCAACTCGATTACGACTTTTGATACATTGCAGTTCAGTAAAAAGGTATGAACATACTGCTGTGATGTCAAAGTAATGTCAAGGTGATAATGATGATGATCACGTATAAAAATTGTAAAACTCTGATTGGTATTAATGGTTCTGAATCATCCCAACTATATACTAACCAATTGACCCAATTGACCAATTTGATGCACTTGATACATATCATTTTACTATAATAACACATGAAATTAACGTACGTACCTAAACTTGAATCGATAGATTAGACATTCTACCCATATGCGTTTAGATATGTATCATAGTCCGACAGAGTTTGTAAAGTTTCTTATATATAAAAAAAATCATGTGATGAATTTAAATTGAGTTTGGTTGTGCTACACAATTCAATATATAGTAATTCGTAATTCGTAGCACAAACTAGTTTTTTTATTTATATTAAAAATCACTATATATATATACGTATATGTATAGTATATACTATATATAAGTTACATACAATTTATTTTAGATGACATTTTATATACCAAATATATATACAAATATATAAATGGTTCAAAAACTTTTATAAATTTATTTATTTTTCATTAAAAACAATTATTCTGTAAATTTTAGTATAAACTACAGCATGTTTATTCAAATTTTAAATCTTAATTTTTAATTTATTTTTATTTTTATTTTATACAAATCCACCAGTTAACAAATAATTTTACGGTTTTACCAAAATACATGTTATACGTATTACAAAAACTGGCTAATCAATCAATACGTGATACTTTAAGTAAAAATATTCGGTATAGGTGCAGAAATACTTGCGTCATTAGGTTATATTCTATTTTTTAACTCCAATTTAATTTTTAATTTTTTAATTGTAAATTTTATTAATTAAATTTGTATAATACGAATTATAAATACTGTACAATAAATATAAATATATTAAATTTTTATAAATGTATTTTATAATTTGTATAATTTTAAGGTAAAATTTTTCAAATAAAAAAAATTAAATTAGACCATGCAAAATTAATTAATTAATGTTTTTTATAACCCGGCCGGGTCAAATTTTGAAAACTTGTTAAAAATATTTTAATAACCGGGAGGGTTTTTTAAAAATTTATATATCTAAAAAAAAACCAGAAAGCCGGGTTTGTTTAAAAGTTTTATGTTATGAAATTGATATACAGTATTAAATCTATAGTTTTATTAATAAAAAATTTGTAAATTATTAATTTTATAATATAAAATTTGTTTAACAAATAGACAATTATTATTTGTATATTGTGTAATTAATAAACTGCTTATATTATTCAGTATTTTGTATATAAATCTATTTTTCAAGTCTTAATAAAAAGTTTTAATTTTTTTTAAATAATTATACTAGTATTTATTATAGTATAATTTTTGAATTTTAGACTATTAATTTTAAATTTAGTCTTATTTAATTATCTATATAATATCTAAATATAATTATTTTACTATTTATTTTAGAGTCTAAGTTTAGTAAACTAAGTATAAAACAGTAAAAAGAATCTAATTTATATTTATAAATGTCAATTTTTGGTGTTTATAATTAATTTTAATTGTCTAATTTTGTATAATTGATTTTGATTAGTTAAAATATATATATACTGTATTTTTTGTTTTTTTATATGGTGCAAAAAGTCTATACTTAACAGTTATACGAAGTGTTTCAATTTTTTAAATGGTTATAACTTTTTATCTAAGAAATTTTAAAAAAATCTGACTAGTAACTTTATAGAACTATATTAGCACTACATATATATCAAATATCTTTTCAAAATCTTATCACTATAATGAGTTAAAGCATTTTGAAAATTGAAATTTTATATATAATTTACAAATTTATATATACAGTCAACCTTCTCTAAATGCATAATGTCGGGACTATAGTAAAAAATTAAGAAAATATGCATTTAAAGAGGTTATGCATTTAGGGTGGTAAAAATCTATAAGTATTATATTAGTTGGACCTAAAAAAAGACATGCATTTAGAGAGGTTTTTCATATATATGCATTTAGAAAAGTTGCATTTAGGGAAGTCTGACTGTAAAATTTTAATTTTCAAAATGCTTCAACTTATTACAGTGATAAGATTTTGAAAAGATATTTGGCATATATATAGTGCTGATATAGTTCTATAAAGTTACTGGTTAGATTTTTTTAAAACCTCTTAAATAAAAAGTTATAGCCATTTAAAAAATTGAAATACTTAATGTAACTATTAAGTATAGACTTCCTGCACTATATTAAAAACCTATTTTTTAAGATGTAGTAACTTAGTAAAGTAGTAAAGTTGTTACATCCCCAAGTGATTAAATACAAGTTTAATTTTCACAGAAGGTAAAATTAGATTTTAGAAAACCAGATTTGGTAACTATTGTTGTGGTCAGAAAACCTTGAAACCCTATAACTATAGTCATACCAAACTAAAAATTAGAAGATTTTGAAGCATTTATATAATAAAGAAGTTATACAAAGATATGCAAACTGGTTTAGTCAGTGCAAAATCTAAGATAAGTTCTTTGAAATCACAGAAAGCTACAGAACTAATACAGTAGTAAAGCACTCACTTAAAAAGTCTCAAATAAAGAGATAGCACAGATTTTTAACAATACTATATATGGATTACTAATTGGAGAACTGATAAAACTGAATAGAACTGTTATAGAACAGTTTTATTTTATTAGTTTATTATATTATCTTAGTATTATTTTATTATTTCAATATTTGTATTTTATTAGTTATTAATTATTATTATATTTATCTTAGAGAAGAATTTAAAAGATATATATAACAATTA